GAGGGGTGAGAGTAGTGTGAGGGGGAAAGTTTTGAGGGGGGGGAGAGGGAGGGGGAGAGAAGTTTTGAGAGGGAGGGGTTTGAAGTATTGTGAGAGGGAGTGGTGAAAATTTAGTGGAGGGGGAAGGGGTGAGAAGTAGTTGAGAGGGAGTGGTAGAGTAGTGTGAGAGGGAGGTGAGAGTAGTGTAAAGGGAGTGGTGAGATTTAAATTAGTAAGTGGGGAGAGGGATGGTGAGGGGTGTGTGAAAAGGGAGTGGTAGGGGTATGTGAGGGGAAACCCGGGTGAGAAGGGTGTAAAAAGGGAGTGGTGAGAGTAGTGTAAAGAGGGAGTGGTGAGAGTTGTGAGGGGGAGGGGGAGAGGAGTTGAGGGGGAAAATGGTGAAGTAGTGTGGGGGGAGTGGTGAAAATAGGGGGGGGGGGGGGAGGGGAGGGGGGTGAGATTTGGTGAGGGGGGTTGGGGGAGGAGTGGGAGAGGGAGGGTGAGGGGTGTGTGAGGGGAGGGGAAGGGGGAGGGGGAGGGGTGGAAGGGGGGGGGTTGAGAGAAAGGGGGGAGGGGGGGTGGTGAGGTAGTGGGGAGAGGGAGGGGTTTGGAGAGTATGTGAGGGGATTTGGTTTGAAAAGTAGTGTAGAGGGAGTGGTGAAGAGTATTGAGAGGGAGTGGGGAGAGTAGTGTGAGAGGGATGGTGAGAGTAGTGTGAGAGGGAGGGGTGGAGTAGTGTAAGGGGGAGGGGTGAGAGTAGGGAGAGGGATTTGGTGGGGATTAGTGGGGGAAAAGGGAGGGGTGAATTTGTGGATTTGGAGGGGTAAAGGAGGGGGGGTGTGGGGGAGGTGGTGAGGGGAAAGGGGTAGAGTGGAAGGGAAAGGGGGGGTGTAGTGTGAAAAGGGGAGGGGAGGTTGTAAAAAGGGAGTGGTGAAGTAGTGTGGGGAGTGGGAGTGGTTTTGAGGGGGGAGGGGTTGAGAGTAGTGTGAAGGGGGTGGTGAGATTTGTTTGAGGGAGGGGAAGTAGTTTGAGAGGGAGGGGTGAGAGTATTGTGAGAGGGAGGGTGGTAAAGAGTAGGGGGGTAAAGAGGGAGGGGTGAGGGGTGTGGGGGAAAGGGAGTGGAGATTTAGTGTGAAGGGGGGTGGTGGAGTGGGGTTTTGGGGGGGGAAATGGTGAGAGAAATGTAAAGAGGGAGTGGGGAGAGTAGGGTGAGAGGGAATGGTAGAGTGGGGTGAGGGGGTGGTGAAAATAGTGTGAGAGGGAGTGGGAAGGGAGGGGGTGTGGGGGAGAGGGAAGGGGGTGGTGAGAGGGTGTGAGAGGGATGGTGAGGGGGGTAGTGTGAGGGGGGATTTTATTTTGAGATTTTTTTTAAAAAAATTTTTGGGAATTTAGAAATTTCCATGATTTATTAAGTTTTTATTACCCCCCTTTTTCCAATTTAAAAAGGGGGGTTTAAATTTTTTTAAGTTTTCAATTTAAATTTTAAAAAAGGGGTTTTGATATTCGGGGGGGGTTTTAAAAAATCTTTTTTTTTAAATTTTGGTAGTATATATTTTTTTATTTTTAAAATTTAGAATTTCAAATTTTTTTTTTGAAATTTTTTATATTTAATTTGTTTTTTTACCGTGAATTTTGGGGTTTTGGAGTTAAATTTTCCCTTTTTTCCTTTCAACCCTTTAAATTTTTAATTTCCTTTTTTTTTTTTAAAATTTTTTTTTCCCCAACCCCCCAAATTTAAATTTTATATACCCTAATTTTTTCCCTTTTACCCTTTTTTTTTAAACAATTCTTGCGGGGGTTTCGATAATTTTAAAACCCAAAATTTTTTCTTAATTTTTAATTTTTAAAAGTTTTATCCTTCCCTTATAAATTTTGGGGGTTTATTAGAATACCTTTTGGGGGAAATTTTTTGATTCTTTTGGGCTTTTTAAAGGGGGGGGTCTTTAATTTTTAATTTTTTTTTTAATTTTTTTTCCCAGGGGGGGGGTTTAAATTGGGGGGGCCCGGGGGGGTTTGGGGGGGCCCATACCCTTTTTTTGGCCCCCCCCAAAACCCCCCCCCCCTTTTTTTTGGGTTCTTCCCACCAGGGGGGGGAAAAAAAAAGAAAAAAAGACCCCCCCCCCACTTCCACCCCCCAAACCCCCCCCGCCCAGAAAAACCCCCAAAAGGGGTTTCCCACCCAAACCCCACCCAAAACCCCTGGGGCTTTTCCCCCCACCCTTTACCCAATATTTTCCATTTTTTCAAAACCCTTCTTTTAAACCTTTCTGGTTTTTTCCATGGGGAGAGGGGCCACAAACCTTTTTTCCCCTTTTTAAAAACCCTTTTTTTTAAAAATTTTCGAGGGGGCCCCTTTTTGTTTGAATGTTTTCAACGAAAATTATTTTTTGGGAGCCCGCGAGTGCTCTATGGGCCTTTTGGAAAAAGGTTAAAAACTCCGGGTTTTTTTCAACCCTTTTTAAAAACCCAAATCTTTTGCAAAGGGGGGCCTTTAATTTTGGTTTGGTTGCTCCCCTTTCCCCCGTCCTTTCCCAAATCTTTTTGGGCTAGCAATATTTTTTATAGTCAGGTAGGGCACCCCAAGCTCAAAAACCTTCTTATCTCCCTTAACGTCCCCAACCGCCAAGTGGTTTGTTTAAACCCCCCCCGGTTCCAAACCTTTTTTTGAATCTTACCAAATTTTTACAGGGGTTCCCAATTTACTGAATTCCCCTAAAAATCTTAAAATTTTTTAAACCCGGGCCCAAACTTTTTCCCTTGAACGCCACTTGTTCAGACCCCCCCGGATTAAACCCCTTTTTAGGCCCTTTCTTGTTCCTGTAGGACCTCGATCCCAAGACATTTTTTCCCCCCAAGCCAATCCACTTTCTTTAACCAAAGGTTTTTAAAAAAAAAGGGCCCCAAAAAAACCAAAAAAAATTTAAAAACTTTAGGGCAAGCCCGCTTTACTAAAAAAGTTAAAAATTATAGAAAGCCCCTGACCAAAATTTTTGGGGGGGTTAAGGGTGAGAGGGGTTGGTTTTGGGGGGGATTAAGTTTGGGGGGGGGAAAAGAAATTTAATGGAGGGGAAATATTGGAGGGAGGGGTAGAAAATATAAAGGGGAGGGTGGAGAGGGAAGGGGGTAGGGGGATAGGGGGGAAATTTGGGTGTGTGGGGGGGCGGGGCGGGGATTGGAAAAAGGGGGGTTTGGGGAAGGGGGTGAGTGAAATAAAATTTAAATTAGGGGGAACAATATGGAAAAAAAGGGGGGGCTGGGTTTTGTTTAAAAAAACAAAAAAAAAAAAAAAAAAAAAAAAAAAAAAAAAAGGAAAAAAAAAAAACAAACCCAAAAAAAAAAAACCCCCAAATAAACCGCCAAACCAACAAAAACCAAAACCCCACACACCCCACCACACACACACACCCACCCCCAACAAACACCACACACACACACACAAAAAAAAACCCCCCACAACACACACACACCCCCCAAACCACCCCCAACACACACCACACACCACACACACACACCCCAACACACACACCACACACACCCCCCCCAAAAACACACACACACACCACACATACAACACACCCCCCACACACACCACACACACACACACACACCACACACACACGCTCGGGGGGAAGGAATCTTTCAAGCTCTGTACACCGGAGGGCACCCATTTTGGGAGTAGCACACCAGTAGGGAACCCACACCTGTCAAGCATGTCAAAAATTAGAGAAAATAAAAGGTTTTCCATATATGGGCATAAAAACTGAAGAAATTTAGAGCGGGAATGACAAATTGTCAAGATGGGACACAGCAACAAGGGGGCACAACTGGAAGTTGAAAATTCAGATGATCACGGGATGTTACGAAGTATTTTTCACCCTAAGGGTTTTTCAGGGAAATGGGGAAAAATCCCCAGATGATGTAGTGGAGGTAGGATTAACGTATTTTGAAAAGAGAACAAAAAATCAGGGAATAGGAAGAGGAACCCAGTAGTAACTAGCGAAGATAGGTCAAGGGCTGTGAGTCGACCACTGAAACAATAAAAAGGTAAATACGACCAGGGCCCCAGACTTTTCCTGAGGAAAATTTAAAATAAAGATTTTCCTTTTAAGGCCTCAAAAAAATTCACTTGTGAATTTTTTCTTTTCTTAAATGTTACCCAAGGGGTTCCTTAACAACATCTGTTTTGACAGACTTCTTCTAACCCTGTTTTCGCACAAAAATTCTTATAAAACACCTGTCACACACACAAGAAGTTCAGCAATCATGGGGAAGAAAAAAAACACTCATACCTTTTCCCCTTGCCAAATTGTCCAGGGCTTTCCCCGCTGACAAAGTTTCCCTCACATCACCCATCGGTCGTCGCTGGACAATCCTGATGGCACCTTAGAATTTCTACCTTCAAAATGCGGGGACCGTCTTTCTTTCCCAAGTATAAATGGTTTTGGCGCATTGACAATTTTTTATTGTTTTAAAAACTACGTTTCGCTCTTTGGGATTTGATAAAGCCAATAAAATTTCTAAACATTGCAAAATTTAACATCGTTTTTCGGGTTTTTAACTTCCTTACGTTCACTGTCGAGAAAAGCTGCAAAAACATTTTCCCTTTTTTAAGACTTTTACTTCTTAATAAGAGTAGACCAACAGCTGAAATCAGGTTTTACCATAATCCCACTGAATTTTCACATAAACTTGTTCAACAATAAAAACTCAAAAAAAGTGTTTTTTTTTTGACTGGGGTTTTTTTTAATTAGCTTGTAGTTTCAGCTCCCCTATAAACTTTTTTGAAAAAAAGGTCAACCCGAGCAAAAATACCCCAAAAAAATGCTTGTCAGGTTTCGTCTTTTTAAATTTTTGTCGCTTTTGTTGTAGTTTTTCACTATTACCGTCTTATTGACTAAGTTAAGCATATTTAAGTTTTTTGTGTGTTTTAGCACACCATTTAGTTATATACTGATTTTTTATTTGATTGCATTTCCCTTTTGAACTGCAGTACATGTGGTTGTGTTTCCTTGCAGTACATCAGAACTACGTGGGGTGTGACAGCGAGAAGGCTCCATTCTTCCTGTCTGTCGTGCTAACAGACGCCAACAACCAGTGTGTGCCTCAGTACAGAGCTATACTCTGGCGGAAGACGGTGAGTGTTGTGCCCCTTCTCTGTGCGGGAGGGAAGGGAATGTTACAGCGAGGTAGGGAAGGGATGGAGGGAAAGTGGGATGAAGGGAACTGATGGAGCCGGTGAGGGAGAGGGATAGAAACAAAGAGGGAAGAAAGGGATGGGTTCATCTAAGAAGGGATGAAGGCAAAGAGAGAGGGAATTAGGAAAAGCGGATGATGGTAGGGAAGAGAGAGAGAGAGTTCTGTTTTGTAGGACGTTTGTTGTGTAGCTTGTGTGGGAGATCATGAAGTAAATGGAAGAGGGGTGAAAAGTTAATGAATGGAAGGAGGGACTAAGGAATTAGGGAAAGTGGAGGAAAAGTGAATAAAGTGCCCTAACTTTCTTATTCCATCAATCTCTCCCTCCCTCTCTTGTCTCCCTTTCTCCCTCCCTCTTTCATTCACTTCCTCACTTTAGTTCTCTGGAATATATCCAGACTTCCAGAACCACTTACACCTAGGCATCCTCCTATGAATTTACTCGACTGACTTCCTCCATCCGCTTGCCCTTACATCCCACTTTCCCCTCCCATCCTCTCTCCCTGCCCCCTCCTCTCTCTCTCTCCCTCTCTCCTCCTCTCTCTCTCTCTCTCTCTCTCTCTCTCTCTCTCTCTCTCTTCTCTCTCTCTCTCTCTCTCTCTCCTCTCTCTCTCTCTCTCTCTCTCCTTTCTTCTCTATCTCCCTCCCTCGCTCCCTTTCTGATTTCTCCTGGTAACACAATGAAGAGTCTTGAACTACGAATGTTGCCACAGTGTTCTCTAAGTGTAAAAATGCTCTCCGTCTGCTTTTCACTGGGTGTATTCTACACTTTCTCCCATAAAAATTGTTATTGCAGGGCTCTCAAGACTCTTTCATTTATACATAATCTGGAATCTCTCTCTGTTGTTCCTTTCAGAAAGAATAGTCCAAGTGCACTGGGGTGTTTCTTGTATATTAGATTTGCTATTGATTCTATGCGAGCGGTATACTGCCCCCTCCCTCTGTATGTTTTAAAGGCTACACTATCTCTCCTGCTTCTTACAGGATTCATTACCTTTGTAACTTGTGAGTTCATTACCTTTGTACCTAGTTCAGCTATCAAAACTTTGGGGGCCCAGTCCCTGGACCCATTACGTACCTCTGTAATCTGTAAATACCTTTGTAACTTGTCATGATTGTGACCAGACCTACCTGGAGTTCATTACCTTTGCAAATTGTGACTTCATTACCTTTGTAACTTGCTCAGCTATCAAAATTTTGAGGCCCAGTCCCTGGACCCATTATGTACCTCTGTAATCTTTTGACTACCGCCCACAGGATGGGTATGGGGTGCATAATAAAGATATTAAACTAACTAACTATCTCTCCTGCCTTGAAATGTGCTGTGAACACATGCAATATTCGAATCGTGAGAGCACCCATGATTTGAAATGTACAACATTGGCGTTGTTTCTCTTGTTTTGAAATTTCTCATTATCCACCCTTTCCTCCTCCCCCACCACTGCTGCATTTAACAGATCATCTGACATAAATATTAATTATTTTTTTTTTTACTTTTTCATTGCACCTATGAGTTGGTCTGTCTGCTTTCTGTTTACTGCATTCATTTTGAGGTCTTAATTCTTACCATACTCAACCAGTTCAACTTTATCACCATTGATAATGATTTTTCATGTGCACATTCAAAAACTTTGTTTATATCAGTAATTTTTCTTTGTCTTCTGCTGAAGCGTCTTTCGTACTTATTTTGAAATCGTTCGCAAAGGATGATATGATGCTACGATTTGTGTTTTTCTAGCGTCTGGTACGAGCATGAGAAACGGGAAAGGTGCTAGAAATTTATTTTGGGGTACTGGACTTTTTACTTTATTAAGAGTGGACTCCTTGTTTATTAACACTCCTTATGTTTTGTTTGTTAGAAATCTGGATAGCCAGTGACTTACTCTTCTTGGCTGATCTCAGTTTACTGACGATCACTCTATAACCACTTTTGTCAAACGCCTTTACAAAATCCGTGCGGACCTTTTCTGCATTATAGTTTTTTTTTTTTCAAAAGCCTTAGTGATATTTTCATAATAATCTAATAATTGCGACATAAAATCTTGCTGCTCTAAATCCACGTGATTTGCGTTGTGCTGATCGTGATTTTCCATAAAAACAGTAAGCTGGAAATGTGATATTAGTATTTATATTCTGCCATATTTTTACCATCTTTCTGCAGCCTTATTTATAAAGAGGGACTATAATCTGTATTTTTTTAAGTTTTCAGGAATTTCACCCGAGCATCAGCTCCTCCTCGAAATAACTCGAACTAATGACATTTTACATCTCTTACAAATACAGAATTAGAGGAATCAGGCTCACGTGCTGCATACATGGGTATGTTGTGTATTTCTGCTTCCAAGTCCGAAGGATTTATGGCAGTGTATGATAAATATTTAGTAAAGTGAATAGCGTTAGTGAAGGAGTTATCTAGGTTATCAACTCTCGTAGTGTTATTTGGATTACTGAAAACTGATCCGCATTTTTTTTTTTTTTAATTTCGCTTTTTTTGGGGGGGAGGAGGCATTGACTTATTTCCATTTAGGAGAGGGTCAATACTGAGAGGAGACATTTAACATATAAAAATGTATTTACGATTTTTTCCAGTTTTCTAAAAAAGATTTCTTAAGTTTGTCGTCTGTCTGACATGAGTGTTTTAGGCGATATTTAAAGGAAAAAAAGTGAGTTGCAGGAAGCAGGGCCTAATCACGTAGTAGTAGTAGTAGTAGTAGTAGTAGTAGTAGTAGTAGTAGTAGTAGTAGTAGTAGTAGTAGTAGTGTAGTAGTAGTAGTAGTAGTAGTAACAGTGATCTATCACTGAAAGAAGGATTCATGTTTATATTTCGAAAATGGCGAAGGTGCCTTTCTTCTGTGTAACAATGTCAGAAATTGAGATACATGACGCTTTGAGGCCTTATCGTCTGCTATCAATGATTCTTTAATAACTAAGTGGGCATTACTCCATCTCACCATGTAGCTGGTGGTGTTCTTCTCTTGTACACCTGTGTTGTCCAGATTGTCGCATCTGGATTGTCGTTTGTTTAAATGTGTGTCTACGACTTTAGCTGTTTCCACAACGTATACCTTGTCACAACTTCTGCAAGGGATAAAGTAACCCTCTGCATTTACTGATTCAAGACTCTTCACCTTGGTCCTAGTTGTAAAAGAATTCACTTTACCAAGATTCCAAGATGTTACAGTGTCCACTAATATACTCTGCCCACCTGTGACACTGTCTTCAACTATTTCATCTCACCTGTCTCCAGCATATTTCCTCTGTTGAGATATTTGTGGGTTTTTGGGCAGTTTAGTAATTTTTTTTCTCACGTAAAGTCTTCAGTTTTCTCTTTCTTTGCATGATCTCCATTTAGGCTGCATAAGTGGGACATATTTCACACTGACCTTGTACATCTCTGTCCGGGATGTTTTCTTAGGAAACTTTTCGAAGTTCATTCATTAATTCTCAATAAATGTTTGTTAGCCTGTTAACGTTATATTTGCTAATCATTCCCTCCCTGTGGCTATCTTTTTGCGTCTCCACACAGGAGTTTATGCAAAGATTGTTTTTCATCCTCTCATATTTCATTCTCTCTATCCACCACTTCCACTTCCCCTCCTACCCACCACTTTCTTTTCTTCTCCTACCCACCACTTCCCCTTCCCCTCCTACTCACCATTTATTCTTCCCCTTCTATCCACCACTTCCTTTTCCCCTGCTACCCACCATTTCCTCTTCCCCACCTATCCACCACTTTTTTTTCCTCTCCTACCCACCACTTTCTGTTACCATCCTACCCACCACTTTCTCTTTTCCTCCTACCCACCACTTTCATTTTTCCTCCTACCCACCACTTTCTTTTCCTTCCTAACCACCATTTTCTTTTCCCTTCCTACCCACCACTTTCTTTTCTCCTCCTACCCACCACTTTTCCCCTTCTACCCACAACTTTCTTTTCCCCTCCTACCCACCACTTTCTTTTCCCCCCTCCTACCCACCACTTTCTTTTCCCCTCCTACCCACCATTTTCTTTTCCCTTCCTACCCACCACTTTCTTTTTTCCTCCTACCCACCACTTTTCTCCCCTTCTACCCACCACTTTCTTTTCCCCTCCTACCCACCACTTTCTTTTCCCCCTCCTACCCACCACTTTCTTTTCCCTTCCTATCCACCACTTTCTTTTCTCCTCCTACCCACCACTTTCTTTTCCCCTCCTACCCACCATTTTCTTTTCCCTTCCTACCCACCACTTTCTTTTCCCTTCCTATCCACCACTTTCTTTTCTCCTCCTACCCACCACTTTCTTTTCTCCTCCTACCCACCACTTTCTTTTCCCCTCCTACCCACCATTTTCTTTTCCCTTCCTACCCACCACTTTCTTTTCTCCTCCTACCCATCACTTTTTCTCTCCTACTCGCCACTTTCTTTTCCCTTCCTACCCACCAATTTTCCCCTACTACCCACCACTTTCTTTTCCCCTCCTACCCACCATTTTCTTTTCCCTTCCTACCCACCACTTTCTTTTCCCTTCCTACCCACCACTTTCTTTTCCCCTCCTACCCACCACTTTCTTTTCCCCTCCTACCCACCACTTTCTTTTCTCCTTCTACCCACCACTTTTCCACTCTTACCCACCACTTTCTTTTCCCCTCCTATCCACCACTTTCTTTTCCCCACCCACCCACCAATTTTCCTCTCCTACCCACCACTTTCTTTTCCCCTCCTACCCACAACTTTCTTTTCCCCTCCTACCTACCACTTTCTTTTCCCCTCCTATCCACCACTTTCTTTTCCCCTCCTACCCACCACTTTCCCTCCCCTACCCACCACTTTCTTTTCCCCTCTTACCCACCATTTTCTTTTCCCTTCCTACCCACCACTTTCTTTTCCCCTCCTACCCACCATTTTCTTTTCGCCTCCTACCCACCATTTTCTTTTCCCTTCCTACCCACCACTTTCTTT